CAGAGTGTTTCAACATGAAGCTTTAGGGAATGATGCCATCTCCTGCTGCCTCAGTTTGAGATTTCTTCTTGATGAGCACTATTAAGATAGAATTCAAGGCAGCATAACCCTTTTCAAATTCCCATTGCAAGCACATTACTCAAACTGGATGCTACTCATTTGTCTTTGTATTACTTGCTTCCCAGGACCAAAGCACCACAAACTGGGTGACTTAAACCAGCAATAATTTATTATCTCACAGTTCTGAAGGTGAAGTATTGCTGTGTTGGCTCTGTGTGAGGCTTTAAAGGAAAATCTCTTGGCTGCCTCTCTCTATCTAGCTTCTGGTAGTTCTGGGCATTCTTCGGCTTGCAGCTGCAGGATCAAATGGCATCCTTCCTGTTTCTCTGTTTCTGTGTATATTCTTTCCTAACTCTAGTCATATAGAATTAGGATAGGTTCAGGGTGCACCCCTCTCTAGTGTGACTTCATGTAAACCTAATGATGACATCTCCAAAGATTCAAAGGGTCGTATTTCCTGCTTAGGGAAGGTATGGGAAGTAGGATTTCAGTGCATCTTTTGAATGGGCATAATTCGATTTCTAAGACTAAAGTCAGTCTGATTATTCTCTTTTATTGGCTACTCCCTCTTGTCTTCACACCCTCCCCATTCTATCAGTTAGGCATGCCCTGCTCCAGATGGTTAATGCACTGCACTTATTGTCTCATAATCCATTACCTCTAGATTTATCCTCCCTTCCCCTAATCCATTACAGTGTTCATTGTTTGTTTATTCTATTCTTGCTTTTCTTGTCCCCCTCTCACCTATTTTTATAACAGTGGTCATATTTGAACAATCCTGTTTTTATAATCGTTTTAATAATACTATATTTGTCCTTTTGTGACTGAGTAACTTCATTCAGCATAATGGCCTCTAGACTCATACAGACATATTTTATGTGTTTCGTGAGTTTCTTCATGGTTTTTGAATGTTACCTGTTATTCCAATTTCCTTACCCATTTGTTTGTTGATGGACTCTTTGGCTACTTCCATCTCTTTGGTGTTATGAATAATTCTACAGTAATAGGTAAGCATACATCTGTTGTGTAACAGCTCTGATTTCCTTTCCAGGAGTAGACTTTCTGGATCAAATTATATTTCTATTTTCAACCTTTTTAAGAAATGCTAGACTGCCTTACATGGTGGTTGTACCAGTTCACATTGTCACAAACAGTGATTGGTAGTTTAAATCTTTCCGCAACTTGAGCAGTATTTGTTACTTGCACTCGGTTAAACGTTGCAGTTTTGCTGGGGTAGGATACTACACATTTTGGTCTTGATTTGCATAAGAGAGCTGAACAATAACTAAGAATGACAAAAAAAGAGTTGATTTCTTCAAATTGTTGTGCTGGAGAAGAGTCTCAAACATAGCATGGACAACCAAGAAAACAAAGAAGTCTGTTTTGGAGAGGGTGAAACTAAGTTTCTCCTTGGAGGCTAAAACTGTGAAGCTCTGTCTCACATACTTTGGGTATGTGGCCAGGAGAAATCAGTCCGTGGAGAAGGACATCATACTTGAAAGGGTGGAGATACAACGCAGGAGAGGAAGACTTCCAATCAGATGGATTGACACAGTTAAATGCGGCAGTGGGAGTTGGTGTGTTGGAATTAGTGAGACTGACTCAGGAAAGGGCAGGGTTCAGAGGTGCTGTACATAGGGTCACTACGGGTCGCAGGCAACTCGAGGGCACACAGCAATAGTAGTTCATTTTGAACATTTCCTTATGTGTTTGTTGACCATCTGAGTATCCTCGGTGAAGAGTCTTTACATGTGCCCATTTTTTTTTTACTTACACTATCAGCATTTTTCTTGCTGACATGCTGTAGAATTTGGTAAATTTTAATTATTAGCTCCTAGTCAGATATGTCATTGTCAAATATATTTTTCCCAGTCTACTTGCTTCCTTTTCACCATATCGGAGAAATTTTTTAATTTTTTTTGTTCAGAATAAATAAGCTATTTATTATACAGAATATACATGAGGTTCAGAATATACTTGTCTGAAGAATATTTTTTTTTCTGAAAAGATGAAAACACTTCTAGTGATTTGAAAGTTGATGAAGCAGAAACTGATAATTAACCACCAAATTGGTAATGGTAAACTGATTACAGTCCCAGCCTTATCCACTCCACAGGAAGTCTGAGGATGGGTATGTTGCCATATGACCAAATACACTATTAGTTGTGTTTTGTGGGTTTTTTGTTTTTAAATTTTCTATTGATTTGCTTACAAAGTTTACATACTTTGTGTTTTACTATTTTATTCATCCACATTGTGTTTCTTATAGTCATCCCCAAGCATTATGTTTTAAAAATTAATCACCATTGGACCTTGCCCATCATTACCCTGTCTTTTCAGGTCCCTACCAGATCCCTCCCGTATCTTTCACTCTCTCCCTCTACCCACCAAATTATGCAACCCTGTGGTTTCACCCTTACCCATCCTTGGCCCTGTGCTCTACCCTTTATGCCCCTTGGGTCCCTAGAGATGTTTTACTGGTTATCCTTCTATTTTTGCAATAATGGTCTTATGCAGCATTTATCCTTATGAGACTGTGTTCATTCATTCAACATAATGCTCTCCAGTTCCTCCCAAATTATGTAGTATTTTTAAAAATCCTTGCTCCTGAGGGCTGCATTATTTCACTGTGTGAATATACCACAATTTATCAATCCATTCAGTTGTAGTTGGACATTTGGGCTATTTCCATGTTCTTACAATGGTGAATAATGCTGCTGTGAGCACTAGTGTACAAATCTCCATATATGTCTCAGTTTTAATTTCTTTGGGTTATATTCTTAGTAGTGGAATATCTGAGTCATACAGAGTTTCTCTGTACAACTTTTTGAGGAAACATCAAACTGTCTTCCAGAGTGATTGTATTATTTTATAATTTTACCAGTAATGTTTGAGAGTTACTACCTCTTCACATCCTCTCCAACATTTATTAATTGCTGCCCTGCTAAACTTTGTCACTGCTTCTGGGGTGAGATGGTATCTCATTGTGGTTTTGATTTGCATCTCTCTTAATGCCAGTGATTCTGAACATTTCTTCATGTGTCTGTTGGCCATCCGAATGTCTTCTTCTGTGAAAAGTCTTTACATGCTTTTTGGCCATTTTGTAATTGTGTTATCAGTCTTTTTCTTTGGAGGCCCAGGAGTATTCTGTAAACTTTTGTTATGAGATCCTTGTCTGAGCTGGTATTGCCAAATGTTTGTTCCCATTCAGGTTTTCTTTTCATCCTGTTGAAAAAAGGTTTTGGTGAGCACAGAGATTTAATCTTTAGAAGGTCCCATGCATCAATTGTGTTCTCTTCATATTGTGTAATTCTGGCTGTATTTGGCAATCTCTTTATATCATAGACTAGGCCTTCGAAGCTTGATCCCAGTTTGTCTCTTATGAACTTTATGATTTGGGGCTTTACTCCCAGGTCTCTTGGATTTGATGTTTATAAGATCCCATTCATCTATTTATCTCTCTTAGTTGTATATTTTGGCTGTGTTTGAAAATCTATTCATGCCATAGACTAGGACCTCTAAATTTGTTCCTGTTTTCTTCTCTGGCGATCGTTTTAGCTTTTGGTTTTATCTGTAGGTCCTTGATCTACCTTGAGGGTTTTGTGGGGGTTTTTTGTATATAGTGTCAGATGTGGATTTTGTTTCAGTTTTCTGTAGGTAGATATCCAATAATTGCCAGTACCATTTTCTAAAATGTCATTTCCCTGGTTAATAGTGTCCATATCCTTGTCATAGAGGAATTGACTGTAGGTAGATGGATTGATTTATTAATTCTATCTCACTGGTCTATGTGTTGCTATACCAAAACCATTCTGTTTTGGATATTGTAGCTATGGAGTAGGTTTATAGATGCCTCCCAGTTTAATTTTTTTTTGCCTCTTTTCTTTCCAAATAAATTTATAAATTGCTTTTTCTATCTCCCTGAAGAATGACATTAGCTCCTGTATTGAGATTGCATTGAATGTATAGAAGGCTTTTAGTAGGATTGTAATTGTTTAGAATATTGAATCCATGGGCATGATATATCCTTCAATATCTGGTCTCTTTTTGTTTCTTGGAATAGTATTTTGCAATTTTCTGATCAAAATCTTCTGTGTCTCTATTTAAGCTTATTCCTAACTGTGGAGAAAATCACCTGATTTTTTTAAATGTTGATCTTGTATCTTACCACTCTACTGAATTATTCTACTGATTCTAACAGATATTTTTGCTGAGTTTTTAGGGTCTTATATTAACAGATATTTTTGCTGAGTATTTAGGGTCTTATATGTATATATAGCAACAGAACAGAAACTGAACATGTAGAAATAGAAACAGAATGGAAAGATGTTTATCTGTGTTTTATTGACTATGCGAAGGCCTTTGACTGGGTGAATCATAACAAATTAGGGGTAACATTGAGAAGAATAGGAATCCTAGAACACTTAATTATACTTGTGAGAAACTTAGACCAGGAAGCTGTTGTCTGAAAAGAACAATGGAACACTGCATGATGTAAACTCTAGAAAGGTGTGAAATGAGATAGTATCATCTCTCACTACCTATTTAATCTGTATGTTGAATGAATTATTAAAAAAGGTGAGTATATGAAGAACAATGTGGTATCAGGAAGACTTATCAACAACCTACAGTTATGCTGATCATACAATCTTGCTTGCTGAAACGGAAGAGGACTTGAAACATTTAATACAGAAGATTAAAAACGGTAACGTTCACTATAGATTACATCTAAACAAAAATCCAAAATACTCACCTATGGAAGGGGTACACAATTAACATGAAGTAGATTAAGAATTTCAGATTTTATTTGTCTTGTGAAATAGTTTATGTGATTTAAAATGGAATAATTTAAAATGTATTTTAATCATTTTAGTTGATCTAAGTTGTTGATTTTTAAGCTTCAAAATACATACTTAAGAATCTCTGTTTTTCTTTTTTAGGTTCAAACCCAAGTTATCCTGATGTAATTTATGAAGGTAGCTATCATTTTCCTTCATTTTGTATTTTTTTCCAAATCTTCATCTAAAATGAAATAAATCCACTGAAAGAAGACCATTAAATTCAGTTAAATATGTCCTTCAAGGATTATACATTTCAAACAGTATTTCAAAAAATCATTCAATATTGATGACCATTTTCCCTTGACGTATACGGTGCCTGTAAATAGCACTTTCTCTCTCTGCTGTATTCTTGGAAGTAGTAAATCCATTCTGCTGTAACATATTTTATTTCCATAATTGGGAACTAATTACCTGTTTAAAAGCCATGACTAGGAAGTGAACTGAGTTGTATCAATTAGAATGTTTCTAGCTATGATCATAAACCTAATTCAAATTTGTTATGTATTGAAGAAGTCTGGCTTACATACAAGAAACTCAAGGGAAAGGCATGTTCAAGGGCTGCTTAAGCAGCAGTTCAAACATTTAATCTGAGACCAAGTTTTCATCATCTTTCGACTGCATTTTGTACCAGCTTCATGGAAGGCTGGTTTCTTTTATGATTGTAAGATGATATCAGTAGAGTTCCAACCTACGGTCATTCCCATTAATGGGCATAGGGGAAAACTTTCTGAAACGCGATTCAGAAAAAAAGACAATTTTCCCAGAGACTCTCACCAACCCCTCTTTGTATGGAATTCAAGACCTAGTCTAACCATGATCTATTCTCGTTTCTATTACTGATAATAGGGATGGGTTTAGCCCTTGACTAATGCCGTTTACCCCTAAAAGGAGGCTCAGCTTCCCCTAAAGCAGATGGTCTCCTTGAGAGGAAATAATTCTTGAACAAAATGGAGTTCTCTGAGGAACACAAGGGAGGGAATTCCTAATGTGCCCTGCATTAGCTTTACTCTTTGTTACTTTGTTTTTCTAAGTGTGAGTGCCACCTTGAAAAACAATTTATAAACTACCTTCCACACTTTGAAAAGTGGGAGACTAAATTTCCAGATGTATTTTTATATTTAAGATTGATTATGTTAGAGTTGCCTTTCTCAGACAGACCATATATTTCTATAAGATAGTCAGTCTATCCTTAGCCTTTATCAGGGAGCTCTGGTAGTCCACAGGGGCCTGTGCTGCTGACCAAAAGGTGATGCCTCTCTAGGGGTTCAAATCCATCAGCTGCTCTGCTGGGGAAAGTTTCATGATCTTTTCTCAAGAGATTTACTGCCTCCGTAAACTCCCCAGAGGGTTAACTATGAATTGGTTCTAATTTGACAACAATGGGTTAATAGGTTTATATGTAAATATTTATGTATATTTAAATACTTTTGTAAACATTTTTAAAATGAAAATATTTCTTTTCCTCAAAATGTATTTTTATATGTATCTTACATGTATGTATTCATCATGTAACCCTGGCTAGTTTTAGCAGAAAATTATAAATTCTCTACCTACTTTATGCATGTTAAGCCACATTTCTTCCAACTTGTGGTTAGGATGATTCTGTATAGAAGTTTTAATGTTCTTCATTCTATTTTTTCTCAACATAATTTGAAGAAGCGATATCTTAAATTGTATCATAGAAAGGAATAAAGCTTGAGTTATGATTTTACATTTTATAATTATTTTTTGGACCCTATCTAATAAAATTATTATATACAATCTCATTTTATCTCTGTGGGCCATGATAGTAAACTCTACCTGCTAGTTTAGATAATCAAACTTGTTTGAAGACGGGCTTTGGATTGACAAATCCTGTTTAAATCCTTGTTCTTAAATGTTAGTTTGTACTTATTTGAAACAGCAAGCAGGTAGAAAATATCTCCTTTTTTCACTTATTTTTCGTTCACACGCAGTGGTACACTTGGCTAATAAAAAAATAAGTTTGTCTCAAGATGAACCTCATAATATCTAAGGAAAATTAGATGAGGCTGAGTTATTGAGCCAACCTGTTCATGACTCAAGGTGATGGCATCTTACCTATTTTAAATGCATATTCCAATATTTTAACATCATCTGTAATATTTAACAAAGTATTTTGTATGTACTCTTCCTGGATGATACCCTTGATATCCTTCCACAACTCGTCTGGTCCTCGCTCATTAGTGTTCAAGGCCTCAAATCTGTTCCTGAGATGGTTCTGAAATTCAGGTGGGATAGACTCAAAGTCATATTTTGGTTGCCTTGGATTTGGTTTAATTTTCCTCAACTTCACCTTGAACTTACATATGAGTAGTTGGTGGTCTGTTCCATAATCAGCTCCTGGCCTAGGTTTTCACAGCTGATATTGAGCTTCTCCAGAGGTTCTTTCCACAGATGTAATCGATCTGATTCCTGTGCATACCATCATGTGAAATCGAAGTATATAACCTGTGTTTTATTTCTCTTAAAAAACGCATCTGCTATGAGTAAGTCATTGATTGTGCAAAATTCAATCATTCTATCTACAGCTCCATTTCTGTCACCGAGTATGTTTTTCAACTACTGAATCTTCTTCTCTGTTCCCAACTTTTGCATTCCAGTCACCCATTATTATCAATGCATCTTGATTGCACGTTCGATTGATCTCCGATTGTAAAAGTTGGTAAAAATCTTCTATATCTTCTTCCTTGGCTCTGGTTGTTGGTGCATATATCTGAATGATAGTGGTATTCACTGGACTTCCTTGTATGCATATGGACATTATCCTGTCACTCACAATATTGTACTTTAAGATGGATCTAGCAATGACTTTCTTAACTATGAAAGCAACCCCATTTTCCTCACCTTTTCATCTCCAGAGTAATATATCATATGATCATCGACTCCAAATGCCCCATGCCAGTCCATCTCATCTCACCAATGCCTATTATGTCAATATTTATGTGTTCCATTTCTTCCTTAAGAATATCTAATCTTCCTACATTCATGCTTCTCACATTCCATGTCCCAATCACTAGTGTCTGCTTACAACTGTTCCTCTTCCTTTGTGTTTCCAACTTGAAAGCTCAACTTCAGTTGCCTTTTCTGTTATCTACATGTGTTCAGTTGTACACAGGGTTTTCAGAGTCCTGCTATTTCAGAAGTGGATGGCCAATCTTTCTTCCTAGTCTGTCTTAATCTGAATGTTCAGATTTAGAGAAGTATCAGGCAGACTAGCAAGTAAAATATATATCCCTTATTGTGGAGTTAACCATTAGTGTCAGTGTTGTCCCTGCTTTTGGCACACGTGTCTTTACCCACATATTTCCCTGCTCCACCATCCAGCAGAATACCCATCCACTTTTCCCCACTCCCTTTACATCTATCTCCCATTGACCAGCCCTTGATCTAATAGCTTATATATGAAACTTCCTTGGCTTCTGTGATTCAAACACATCAGCTGCTGGTAGCAAAGACCAAAATGGATGTCAGAAGAGACTCTGAAAATTGCACTGGAGTGCAGAGAAGCCAAAGCACAAGGAAGAATTCAAGATACTAAAGAGTTGATTAGAAGATTTCAAAAGGCAGCACGGGATGACAAAG